GATTGAGGCCATTCTGTATGTTACTTAGAGCGATGTCTCTGACTAGTGAGTCACATCAAGGTCACTTACTCATTGCTGCCCTGGGACGTGTCACCAGGCAATGACTGGGACACATGGAGTCTGGTTCTGGCTCATCTCTGACTCTCTGGGTGATGTTGGGGATACCGCCTCACCTGCTCTGGGCCTCAGTGTCCCCACTGGTGACTAAAGGGCTCTGAGGAGATAAGCTTCAGAGGCCCTTCCATTTAGACTCTCTAAGAACCTGTGTTTGAGCCTCTCCAGTCCTGGGAGTGTCCACAATACTGGGGAGCCCGTGGGAGGTGCCGCTTCCTGGACCATCCCAGACTCTGGTGCAGCTGGGTCCTGGCTCCTCTGGGCGAGGGGTTGGGGTAAAGAGCCAAGCTGGGGATGCCCTTTCCTGTCTTGTTCTGGAAGCGCAAGTTTGGTTGGGCCCTTTTAGGACTAGATGAAGATGTGTGGGGCTGTGGTTGAGAGCCCAGTAGGGCTCTGCAGCCAGATTACCTGGTTCAAATTCATTTGCTTATTAGCCACCAAGTGACCTTCGGCATGTTTTTTAACCTCCCTGGGCCTCAGTTTCCTCATCTATAAAATAGGGCAATAATGTACAAACTTGTTGAATAGCCTGTATTAATTAACTTAGTAAAGTGGGAAGACCAAGAACTGACACATAGTAGGCTCTCAAAACGTTAGGCATTTTTCCAACCTTTGAGGATCTGGGCGTTCAGGAAAAAAAAAATCAACTCCTAAATTTTACCAGCCTTCCCTCCTACAAGGCCAGTCTGTCCCAGTTTACAAAGTCCTTCTGGTCCACCATGTGCAGGCTGTACCGAGATGAGGGAACCCAAGGCTCAGAGATGGGCAGACACCCACCCCAGGTCACACAGGAGCAGAGGCCAAGCTAGACCAGGCCAGGTCTCCTGCCTTGCAGCCAGTTCACCCTCAGTGCCTCCTGGGTTTCCAAGCCCTGCTGGCCTGCCCTCTGACCCTGGCCCCCTGGGAGCCTGATCCCAGGCCCATGGGGCCTGTAAGTCTGGTCTGAATTAGACACGCTGAGAAGCAAAAGTTGGCCCCCCTCAGCAGGCCGCCTGGTGGGACCCGGGCTCACAGCTGCCGAGGCTCACAGGGACATAAATCATGGTGGCAGTAGGCTTGGGGGCTGGGAACACCTTAGCCTCCCAAAGGGCACAGGGGCCTGAGAGTCATGGGCAGGGGTGCCTGGGTCCACTGGGGTTTTTTCCATCCTCTGTTAGAGCAGCTGAGGTGAGGAAGAGTCAGAGGGGGCCAGGACAGCATCTGGCAGGCCTTACATCCGAGCGGGCCAAAATCTCGACCTCAACTCTTCATTCTGCAATCGTTTACACACATACAGAGAAGTGACAAAAGTCATACAGAGAACTCCCATATACTCTTTACCTGGATTCAACAAGTTTTAACCGTGGGTCATATTTGCTCTATCCTGCTCTTACACTTTTTTTTTCTGAACCACTTGAGAGTACGTCACCTCCATCACGTTCCTCTACCCCTTCATAATACTTCAGGGTGTATTTCTTAAGCACAAGGAGACCTTCTTACATAGTCATACTATTAGCAAATTCAGAAAATGTAACATTGAACAGACTTTTATCTATTGTTCTGATCTCAATTTTGTCAACTACCCAATAATGTTCTCCATAGCAATTTCTCGCTGCCATACAGGATCTAGTCCAGGGCATGTAATGCATTTTGCTGTCCGGGTCTAGATTTTTGATGTCATGTCCACATGAAGGAAACCCACAGACAGGATTGAATAAAGACGTTCAACTTTACATGGATGTCCTAATGTGTTTGTAAATCCTCGACTTAACGTTCTCATGGTAATGCATTGTACTTGTGACTGTGTATGGGTGTTTAAGAGTTATCTTGCCAAATATGCCAGTTTTCAGAATTCTGTTTTGCGCGCGGTGTGTGTGTGTGTGTGTGTGTGTGTGTGTGTTTAATCTAATAGGAGCCTAATAAAATGGAAGTGGCTTGGGCAATGAGGGGAATTAAATGAGGTGGAGAAGCCCTGGTCTAGAGGAAGGGGCCCTGCATTCTTAGCCCAGCTCGGCTCCAAATGCTGTGTGACCATGGCCCATTGCTGTCCTTCTCTGGGCTTTGGTTTCCCCATTGCCACGAGCGATCTGTGAGGCCTTCCTACATGCAATTGTGGACTTAGGGAAGGGAGCCCTGTGTACTCCCTTACAGGAGGGAGACCTGAGTTCCCGGAGGCCCAGCAGGTTGCTTCCTCTGTATTGGCTAAGTCTCCTCGTTGTAAAACGATGAACTCTAGATCATTCTTGCTCATGCTAATGCCCCTCGTCGGAGTGGAAGAGGTGACCTGGCATTTGCAGCCTCCTCTTGAGGGTCGTAGGTGACTTGGCTGAAGTTGGTCATCCACTCCCTCCACCCTGAGTTTCTTTCCCCTGAGCTCCTTTACTCCTCTGGCTCTAAAATACCCTCACTCAGGGAGCCTGGAGGAGCCTGGCTGGGCTGGCCTATCCTGAAGGCAAAAAGTGTGTGTTGGGGGCAGGGGTGTTAGCCAAATGGCCCCCAGAGGTCCTGGTCCGCAGCTGTCCTCTCTCAAGCCACATGTGTTGGGCTGGCCTTGCTGCACACAAAGGCTCGTAGACATTAACTGTCTCTTACCCAGGAACTCAAGGAAGATAGCAAGCTGCGAGATGTGCAGAGTGGAACACTATGCAGCTGGGAAAAAGTGTGAAGCAGCCCTTTTAACACTGAAGAGTCTCCAAGATGTATTGTTAAGAAAAAACTAGAACAGTGTGTAAAATGTTATAACTTGTGTGGAAAAATTTTTTTTTAACTTGCCTGTATCTGTAAAGACTATCTGGCCGGGAATCCCCAAGACCCTGGTTAAGTAATTCCCTCTGAGAGTTGGAACTGAGTGGGTGGGAGGGAAGTTCATTCTCTATTGTGTCTTCTGAACTGTGAACTCCGCAAATGTATTATCTACTTCAAAGGAAATACAATTTAAAGAACCCAGTCTGAGCAGAGGAGTGCAAGAGGGGCTCCTGGGATGCTGTGAACAGCATTCCTTGATGTGCATGCTGGGTATACAGGTGCCACAGCTTGTAAAAACTCGGGCTGTACCTTTAATGGCATGTGCACTTTCCTGCCTGCATGATACACTTTGATAGAAAGTTTTAACTGAATATGCTGTGAATGATTGTGTATGTTTCACAAAAACTCTGCAGGATTAGTGTTAACTGCTTACCTTTGGGATGGGTGATAGCTCTAGGGCAGTGGTTCTCAACCTTCTGGCCCTTTAAATACAGGTCCTCATGTTGTAACCCAACCATAAAATTATTTTCGTTGCTACTTCATAACTGTAATGTTGCTACTGTTATGAATCATAATGTAAATATCTGATATGCAGGATGGTCTTAGGCGACCCCTATGAAAGGGTCGTTCGACTGCCAAAGGAGTCGCGACCCACAGGTTGAGAACCACTGCTCTAGGGTCTTGTAGCATTTGATTTTTTTTTTTTTACAATGAAAACCTACAAATACTCTTTCAGAAACAGTCATCAGTATAGAGCCTTTCCGGAAGGACACACAGGAAACTGCCAAAGAGCAGTTGCCTTTGGGAAGGAGCCTGAGGGAGTAGGTACTTTTCACTGCATATTATTTGGGACAATTTGAATTATTTGCCCAGGGTATAAATGGTCTATTAAAACTATTTGACAAGGCAAAACAAACACTTATCATTTTGTCCCATCTGTTTTTTGCTGGTTGGAGATCAGGCCAAGGAGTCCCAGAGGGGTCAAGCCACTTTTCTGAGGTCACCCAGCAAATCTGGTGGCAGCAGTGGGCCTCCAGCCCAGAGCACCCAAGTGCCTGCTCTGCTCCCCACTCCCAGGTTTCCTGCCATTGACGAGGTCACAGTCCTTTTCCTGTGGCTTTGCCAGGGGCTGCCTGGACCTGGACCCGGGTATGCGCAGGGAGTGCAATGTGCTTTCCTAATTAGCTCCCGCAGGGGGAAGCGCAACTGGATGGGAACATTAGTGTCCCTGGAACACTGGGGAAGCAAGGTAGAGGGCACTTGGAAAGCTGTCCTGGGCAGGACGCAGGACCCTTGAGGCCCTCCTTCCTCTACTCCTTATACCAAAGGGATTAAATGTAGTGGTTTCGTGGCCTCCTTCAGCCTGAACTGGCAACTCCAGCGACCCCTTTGGTCTCCTGGGGTCTTGGTTTGTCTGTGAGGCAGCTGTCTTGTGGTGTCTGGCACAGTGAGGGTGCTGGGTAGTGCTTGTTGATCTACAAAAAGGGCAGCTCACTCCCAGGCTCAGGCAGAGGGGGCAAGTAGGGGGTGGCAGAGAGGATATGAGCGTGGACTTTGGAGCCAGACTTCGGTAAACAATGAAAGTGTTTGCTAAATAAATATAAACAATAGGCATGTGAGCATACCTTTAGGAGAGGGCGCTGCCTGGCTCTGCAGCCTCTCCCAGCTCCTCTGCCTCCTGGCCTTCTCTGATCCTGGCCGCACAGGGACAGGGCCTCAGCTGGAGAGCCAAGAACTCTGGGCTCCACTGGCCAGCGGTCCCCATCACAGTCTCAGCCGGACCTGTGAAATGGGGAAACACCAGCCTCCACCTCCCGGGGCTGCTGGGAGAACTGGGGTCACAGGAGCTGGCACTGCATCTGGGGCGTCTCCAGCAGGGGAGGGGCTTTAAAGATGGACAGATCTCACATTGTCACCCTGCCACATGCCAGCCATGCACCTTTAGGCGCCATAATTCCTCCAATCTCAATTAAAACAGGGGTAAGAATACCCCCTTTTAGTACACGTGGAAAACTGTGTGCCTACACAGCCGTTTGTCAAGACAGGAATAGGAGATGGATTCAAGTACAGGCATACCTCGCTGTATTAACCTCACTTTATAGCGCTTCACAGATTTTTTTTTAAGGCAAAAACCTTCCACCAGCAAAAAGATGACGACGCGCTTTATCGCGATACTTGCTTTATTGTGGTGGTCTGGAACCGAATGTGCAATATCACCGAGGTATGCCTGCATCGTACATTCATAAAGTGCAATAAGCAGTCACTAAAGGAATAAGGGCACCCTTTACCTCTGTGATCTGATTTGAGATGACAGCCAAGTTAGATGAAGACAAAACAAAAAAGCAAGGAGCAGAAAGCATGTGTAACATGCTACTGTTTGTATAAAGAGTGGAAGAAAAAAGGTATTTTTTCCCTGTATTTGCTTGGTTATTCACGGGAAATGGGTATCATAACTGGTGGCTGAGGCTGCAGAGAGAAGTGGTAGGTGGATAGGTATCTGCTGGAGATACCTTTGGCACTGACAATCTTTGTATTCACTATATACCCTCTTGTACCTTTTGAATTTTGAACCATATGAATGAATATATTCCTTATTCAAAAATGAATACAAGTAAGGTTTCTTTACCAACCACAACAGGTATTCAAGAAGACTCTGAGGAAAGTTTAGTTATCCCGACTTCTGGGGTCTTCCTGCATTCTCCCAGCACATCCCTCCAGGGCACAGGGCAGTCCTGGTGACATCGGTGCCTCTGCCAAGGTCCAGGAGAAGGGTCACCTCTGACCGCCGATGTCCCCAGACCCTTCCCTTCCTCACTTGGGAACATCCTTTATTTAAAAATACCTTTTATTTAAACCCACCAATTCTCTCGCTCTCTCTCACACACACACATTTACATACTCACTCACTCATGCACACACCCTCTGTCACCAACAATCTGTTTTTCCAAAAGTTCTGCCTTGTCTCTGACCAGCCAGGACTGGGGCCAGCTGGATGGGTCTTCACAGCTCTCCACGGTGGGGTAGAGAGGTCCCAGGGGGCCTGTCCAAAGGGTCACGGGCCCAAGCCATTGTCCTCTGGTCCCTGTACTATCGAGGGGTAGGATCGGCTCCTGGGGTCTTCTCCCCTGGTCAACCGCTGGCTGGCCTCTGGCTTCCTTCTCCAGGTCCTGCTTGGAGCAAATGCCACCGGGGTCCAGGCTCATCTCCGTGGCACTCGCAGGGGGGCCACCCCCCTCACCTTCAAGCAGCTGCCTCCCAGGTCACGACGGCCGCTCTACAGGAGGGAGAAAGAAGTGTTAGAAAGCTGGATCAGATCACAATGAACGCGGGAACTAACCTCTGCGTCCAGTAATATGGGACTTAATGAATACATCACAGCCACGTGATAAAGGTCTCTGCAGCATAAGGCAGAAGAAACTTTTTATGAACTGCTATGGAATGATGTCGAGATAACATTATTTAAGGACAAAAGCACACAGGAACCTGTGCGCTGAGATGTCGAGAGAGAGAAGGGCACATAAGAAATTGCTAGTAGATTTCCTCAGAGAAGAGGAATTTGATGGTGGGGAGACAGAATGGGAGAGGCATTTTTACCTTCCTCATTTCTTCCCTACGTGGTCAGTTGCTTTTTAAAAAGAATCCAATACATTTAAATATTTTACATTACAGGGCAAAACAAAACCCATGGTGATGTTATCCCCAGTGCCTGGCTATATGCCCAATGGCTTACTCATTGACCTCAAAAGGAGACTATGGATTCCTCCTCCCAGCCTTCATTCAGTGTGTTCCCTCTGCCAGGAAATGTGCTCTCTGCTCCTGTCTCCCTGGGAAGGTTTCTCTATTCCTGCAATTGGCTAGCACTTCCTGCCTTTCCGGGGACAGTTCACCAGGATATCTCAGAAGGGGGATGACTGGGTTTCTCTTTGTCTCCATCAGGCTGGGAGCTCGGGGAATGTTCTTCATTCTGTGACCCCAGTTCCAGCCTAGGACCCGGCATGTAGCAGGTGCCAAGTGATGTTGCTTGAATCAGTGGTGACCATTGGAAGACGAGCTAATGGTAGCAGTACCTGGGGCCACCAGCCCTTCACCCACAGGGGCATTTTCTACCCAATATCCTGAGGTCTGACACGTGGGTTTCATCCCACTGCAAAGCCAGCGAGATCACAGACATTAAAGGTCTCCAGCTGTTGAGCGACTGGCCCAGAGGCACCCAGCCAGTTGGTAAAAGAGCTGGGCTGGAAATGCATGTTGTCCAACAGTCTGTCTTGTTTCCAGGACGTGATGGTATCTGAAATCCCACTGTACATTCTCACCCTCTGTGCTTCACTAGGAGGTGATGGGACAGGCATCTTTCTCAGGCATCCAGAGAAAGTTGACCATCTGGGAGCTCTGCCCCCTGCTCCCCTCCGCCCTTGGGCCCAGGTTGGGGCAGATCCATCCAGATGTGAGCCAAGCCTCCCTTGAGGCTCTCTGGGCCCAGGGACAGCGTGTTCATTCACAGGCAGGGCTATTTTGAGGGCTGAGGCCACAGTCCCAGCAGAGCCTGGGGCTTGGGCTTCTCAGACAAACTCTGGCAGGAGTGTCGGAGAAGGGGGGATGGGGTAGGGGGAGGAGGGTTTAGTGTTGAGGATGGGGGATGGAAAACCAGCCTCCCACCCTTTCATCTACGTCTTCAGGAAGAGCCACCTCCACCCCGAGTCTGGTGGTCACTGAGAGACCTCAGTCCCATGAGAATGCTGGGACTGAACCTCAGTTTCTTCATCTATGAAATGGGGACAAAATTGCTCTACTTGCCAATGCAGCTGTGGAAGGAGCTTGTAAACTGCCAAAAGCACTGGAAGAGGCCCTGACTAGGCCTAGCTTCTGTCTCTTAGGAACTCAGCGCCAAGGGCTCTGGGAAGCACCGTGGTTAGGAAGTGGGTTCCAGTGAGACAGATGTGAGCTTCCATCTCTGCTAAGCCTTGGACTACCTGTTGGACCTCAGACACGTGACTTCACCTCACTGAGCCTCTGTTCCCCATGTGTAAAGTGGAGCTACTGTGCCGACGACGCACATTAACCTCGATAAAGCCCTCAGCACCGTGCCAGGAACACAGCAAGTGTTCAATGTTCACAAGTATTATCAACATCATCTGGCAATGGCACCTCCTCACCCTAAAGCCCTTGGTGCCACTTCTGCTCCATAGCTGAGACCATCAACTGGGAAGGGCCTTAGAAGACAGTCCTATCCCACCCTCACCCCCTAGGTGATAAAAGGGAAACAGCATAGAGACAAGAACTCCCTTTCTATCTCACAACTGTGACTTCTACCACAGAAGGCCTCCAGGGAGCTGTTTCCATGGTGACCTCAACACCAGACCAGCCAGTGAAGGGATAGGGTCTGGAGTCTTAGAGCTCTCCGCGCCTCCCCCCCCCCCCCAAAGCTCAGAAGGGAGCCTCCAGGAGTTCCCTAAGACAGGCCGTTTCCTTCCAATCAAGTCTTTGAGGGGCCAAAGCTGGCCAGGATGGCCCCTTTCACCTATTCCCAGAGGAGCCTGTGGAGTTGAGAGCATGCTTTCTGTAGCCAAATTTGGCTGGGTTCTTGGTCCTGTAACAGATCCCAAGGAAGTAGCCAGACCCAGGCAAGGGTTCATGACCTGTGGGCAGACCTGAGACCAACTTACCTACGATGGGCGCATGATAGACACACCTTTTCCCCTAGGCCTGCAGTTACAGGCCCTCCCACACTAACTTTTTCCACATCCCAATCACCCAGGCCTGAGTTCGAATCCTGGCTCCATCATGGGTCGTGTATATGAACCAGTGACAGCATCTCTAAGCAGGTGTGGATAACCAGAGCACCTCCTTTTCAGGCTGCCAAGGAGTGATAACCCGAGACGAGTGCTAGCACAGCAGATCAATGCGCAGCAAGACCGCTGTCACTGGCCAGTCTCTGCCTCTCCTCTCTGTTCCACCACCTTCAACGTCTTCCCCGTTCCTTCTCTAGGTCTGGCTCCAACTCGTGCTGTGCCCTGCTTCCAGAACACCTGTCCGTACTCCCTCATCTGCTTGACTTCATTCCCAGGCGCCCACCAGGAACTGAGCCCACTGGTTGTGGGCTACCTCTGGGCTCTGACAGTCCTGTTGTCTCTCCCCTCCCCACCCTCAGGCCGCAGCATCCCTGTCTTCATCTCCTTGCCCTTGGCCCTGACATCACACCAGGAGTCCTGACTGGTGAGTGAGGGTCCACAGCCTGCCTCTTTGGGAATGTTCTCAGAGCTGACAAAAGGCGGCTGTTGGGTAGTTAAGGTTTGCTGAACGACGACGGGACACAGCAGCGTGAAAGGCAGTCAGGGAGTATCACGGAGGGCCCTCCACACCCAGGCTGGCTTTTGAAGGCCCATTCCAACTTCCCAACTCAGTCAGAAGCACTGACTGGGGCCCACAGCTGAGAGCAGCAGGGACCCTCAGGGAAACTGAGGCAGCCGTGGGGGTTAGAGGCCAGAATGGGAGTCTGATGAGCCAGGAGAGGTGGTTTGAGGCCAGGACACTGTAGGGCAGCCATGAGAACCAAAGACTGGGGAATCAGAGGCCCGACTCCATGCCCTTTCACTTTTGAAAAGGCGATGGGCCATTCTCAGCCTCCATTTCCCCAGATATACATAGTAGCAGCGGGACTCCAGAGTTGTCACACAGACCAGAGTCCTTACTGCAAGAATAGCCCAGGTCAGAAAGGGGAAAGGCTGGGGATGAAGCAGGCTCCTTGGGGCCTGGGCAGGAGGAGAACTAGCTTTTAGCCATGAGAGCCCCCTGGCAACCTCTGCTGCTACCCAGCCCCATTCATCACCACCAGCCTGCTTCTCATCCTTGCCCAGGACAGAGCAGAGGAGCTTAATTCCAGCTCGGCCAAGCCGAGTCCACAGTGCCCTCGCCCAGCATTGCGTCCCTTTTGGGGTTGGGTGCCCCCAGGAAACCCCCGTCTTCACTCCTACTGCTCATCAGCTGGGCACTGCAGGCTCTTGGTTGCAGGTATGCATCCCCTTCTCAGTCACCTGCCTTGGATCAGGTCTCTGGTAGCTCAGGCAAGCTCAGAATCTGCCTTCTGGCTTCCCAGCTGCATAAGTGCTGGCATCCCTGCCTCACAGCCTCACAGGCAGGATCACTACCAGCCTGATGAAGTTCTTGTGAAGGTAAAAAAAAAAAAAAACGATCAGGAAAGCATCTGGTACATAGGAAGAGCTCAATAAACGATGGCCTTTGTTATTTCCTCATGCCCTCTTCCTAGCACACCTTTGGGTGGTGGTGGTGGTGGGGTCCTTGGATGAATTTTTAATGCAATACCTGACTAATTAATCAGGGGCACTGAGCTCTTTCCTTTTAGATTGTCAAAAAATAACAGGCCTGGCTGGCGTGGCTCAGTGGTTGAACACTGACCTATGAACCAGGAGGTCATGGTTAGATTCCTGGTCAGGGCATAGACCCAGGTTGCTCGATCCCCAGTGTGGTGCGTGCAGGAGGTGGCTGATCAATGATTCCCTCTCATTGCTGATATTCCTATCTCTCTCTCCCTCTCCCTTCCTCTCTGAAGTCAACAACCACAAAAATATTTTTAAAATGACAACAGCCAACACAACAATAGCTGTCTGGTGTGAATGAATCAAAATTTGGTCAGATCAACAATAAATATATGTTTTGGTAATTAGCTTATGTGTGCCATGAGATGGGAATGCTGAAGATCGCTATTCTCAATCCTGCGTGTGCTCTGGGCTTTCCTGCACACCTTCCGACCAGGAGACATTAAGCAAGTGGTTCTGTTCCATACCAAACCCTGGGCTTGGAGCACCACACGCCCCACGAACTCCACGTTCACTGGGGTCTCCCGCCCTCTTTTGCTCCGTAAGAAGCCCTGGCCCCCGTGACCTCCCGCCCGCACTTGGCCGCGCACTCACCCCCTTGCGCTGGTTGCTGAGGCAGAAGGTGTAGATGGAGCGTGGCTGGCGGCCGCCGTCGGA